AAAAAAAAAAAAGAAAAAAGAAAAAAGAAAATGGTGGAATGGTGGACAGTACCTGAGAAATGATATAAAGGTTTTCTTCTGGCCTCCACATACATGATCATACACATATATGTGCGCGCGCACGCACGCGCACACACACACACACACATACACACACACGTTGATTCTGGATTTATACAAATATTGCCAATCTCCCCATACCCTAAGTGCTTATAGACTTACTGCCAATTCCTTGATTTCCGTAACTGCTGTCCTTTGCTTCTCTCCCGATCTCATTTCCTGTCTCCTGGATGTCACCAGCCGTGGTGATTCTCATGGTTAAATGATACTAGGAGCTGGAGATAGTGTGCACACCTTTAATCCCAGCACTTGGGAGGCAAAGGCAGGTCTATCTCTGTGTTTGAGGTCAGCTTGGTCAACAAAGTGAGTTCCAGGACAGTCAGGGCTACACAGAGAAACCCTGTCCCAAAAAAACAAAACAAAACAAACAAAAGAGAAACTGGGAGACATGCACTCAGGCAGCAAACCCCAGGAAACTGGTCCACATGCTCTGACAGGGGCAGATGCTCATTCTGGCACCTTCCTTCCCATCCAGGTAAGAGAACTGACAGCGTATAGTTATATCTCCAGAGGAAAGTCAGGTTTGGGTGAACCAAGGAATGAAAGAGGGACACTGTGAATGGTGGCTCTGTGTAGAGTTCAGAGTCACGGATTGTTCAGAGCAAGAAAGGAAGAACTCAGTTCACACAGTTCCTCCACCCCACCTTTCAACAGTCTCACTGTGGGGCCCAGGCTGATCTTCAACCTGCTTTCCTTCTGCCTCTGCCTCCCAAGTGCTGGGACTACAGGTGTGGACCACCCACCAGATCACTTCTTTGTTTACTTAGCCACTCCCTTTCTTATTTAAAAATATAGTTAAATTTGTATTTTGTCCCTTTCAAAGACCAAAAATTTTGAATTATTAAAATTTAGAGAGCTTTGTTTTGTTTTGTTTTTGAGGCAGGATCTTTCTATGTAGTTCTAGCTGTCCTGGAACTCATCTCAGAGATTCGCTTGCCTCTGCCTCCTGAGTGCTAGGGTTAAAGGTGTGCACCACCATAAATTTTAGTGATCTTTAATTTTATTCCAGTCATTCCTATATAAAGCCAAGGGAGAGGAAGAACTGACCTTCTTAGGACGAGAACTTTGGGATGACAAATGATAAGGGAAAACAGAAAGAGACAAAAAGTGCCTGTGTGCTGTTGGGAATGGGGCACCTGTCTGCAATGCCAGCCCTGGTGGGCGGGGTAGCAGTGTGAAGAGTTACCAATGGGGCCAGTGAGTCTGAGGCTGGTCTGAGCTTGTCAGACTGTCCCAAAGAAACCAAATCTGGTTTATTTGATGTATGAGATACGAAGTGCAGAAATTATGGAGCTATGGTGGTGGCACATGGGTGAAATACCACCATTTGGTAAGTAGAGGTGGGAGAATCTCAACTTCTAAACCAACCTGGTCACTACACAAATACTATACACACAAACATGCCTTCACATGTTACATCCATGTCACTAGGTGGTATGGACTCAGTGTGTCAAAGTGTGCAAATCACACGTGTAATACAGCAGTGGATTGTGACCATGTCAAGATGAGATAATCTTGAAAGAGAATTGACTATAAGCAGTGCAAATGCCAAACTCTGGTTGTCGTTTTTTGAATGGTTTGAGGAGCCAACTGGACTTGTCAACCCCAGGACACCAAGAGAAGCACATGAAGACTGAGACGCTCTTGTCTGCCTTCAAATCCCAACTATCTACATAGCTCATGAACATGTGACACAGATACTGGCAAAATAGCCTTCTGACCTCCACGCCTATGCCCTGGCATGCATACACTTCCCCCACCTCCACACACATTATTCACACACAATAAAAAAAAACTTTTTTGAATATTACCTAATCAGCCTCCTTTCTCTAAGAGATGCAATTAATGCTAAAAGGGGGATTTAAGCGAGCCACATGTACAGAGTGCAAATCTCATAAATGAGCTCTTATTTTATAAACCAAAGATAATCAAAACCTTTTGAAGAGAAGATGTCTTTTACTTTCATTTTCTACACAGAAATTAACAAATTGCATCCTCTGCTTCTTGCAGAGGGTAATTTACATCATGTCAAATTAGGTCATTTCCAGATACACAGCAACTGCTTCAGACAGACAACGCTCTCACACTATTCTTTCATGGTCAGCCCTGTGTCTGTCTGTCTGTCTGTCTCTCTCTCTCTCTCTCACACACACACACACACACACACACACACAAATACAGCATAATCTCAATATGAAGTGTCCTTACTTTCTGAAATAGGAAATGAGAGGCGCATACTTTGAAATTTGTATTGTCAAGGCCCTCCAAACAGCATAGCACAGATCAGGGCTGTGTGTCAGATCCAAGGAAATATGTAATATTTTAGATTATTAATACTTTAGTGTCTATTTTAGAGAATCTAAAGTCTGCCTTAAGAAAATCTAGTGGTATTTCAAAACCCTTACTCAGGAAGAAAGGGGATTAACACACACAGCCCCACGTTTACTGACCGTATCCCCATGTGGACCAGGAATTGGCTTGCAGCTCCAAGAGGGTAAGAGGTCAGAAATTGCTATCACTCGCTTGACAGAGGAGAAAACTAAATTCTGAGTGTCAACAGCTTGTGTGGGCCTCCTGACAAGAGACGATTTCTGTGTAGGTTCTGTGAAGTTATTTGGTCTATACACGCTGGAGAGACAAGCTGACCCTGGTCTACACGCTGGAGAGGCAAGCTGACCCTGGTCTATACACGCTGGAGAGGCAAGCTGACCCTGGTCTACATGCTGGAGAGGCAAGCTGACCCTGGTCTATACATGCTGGAGAGACAAGCTGACCCTGGTCTATACACGCTGGAGAGACAAGCTGACCCTGGTCTACACGCTGGAGAGGCAAGCTGACCCTGGTCTACACGCTGGAGAGGCAAGCTGACCCTGGGTCTATACACGCTGGAGAGACAAGCTGACCCTGGTCTATACATGCTGGAGAGACAAGCTGACCCTGGTCTACACGCTGGAGAGGCAAGCTGACCCTGGTCTATACACGCTGGAGAGGCAAGCTGACCCTGGTCTACACGCTGGAGAGGCAAGCTGACCCTGGTCTATACATGCTGGAGAGACAAGCTGACCCTGGTCTATACGTGCTGGAGGGGCAAGAACCTGGGTAGATAGTTCGGGGCTTTTGTTTTCTGAGACAAGGTGTGGTTTTCAGGTTGTGCCTCGCCTGGGGCGATTTTCACTTTACAAGCAGCACTAGAATCCGTTTTGAGTGCTAACACAAGCAGGGTGATTTTGCACCTCTCTGTACACATAGATCCCACATCTGTCCAACACCACCCAGCACACAAATCGACAAGCAACTTACTCTCCCCAAAGCAAAAATGATAAAGAAGTTTGGGAACATGTAAGCACACTGACATAGTAAAACTGGATCAAAGAAACCAGGCCCAAGAATTTACAGAACACACCAAAACAAGGAGTGAAGCTCCTTCACCTAGATTCCATAAAGAGGGCGACACCTAACAGAGCAGTGACAACAGTCACACAGGCCTGTCACCTGAACATCCAGTTGTGCACTGTGGGACCCACAGGCTGAGAACTCTCAGCTGTTCCTGGGGCTTCATTTCAGCTGTAACCCTATTCTATTACTACAGCCCCTCCCTCCATCGTTGTTCACTGGCTCCTATCTTCTTCTTTCTGTCTCTCTCTCCCTCCCTCTCTCTCTCTCTATCTATCTCTCTCTCCCTCCCCCCCTCTCTCTCTCTCTCTATCTCTCTCTCTCTCTCTCTCAAGTCAGGGTTTCTCTGTATAATCCTGATTGTCCTGGAACTCACTATGTAGACCAGGCTGGCCTCGAATTCACAGAGATCCACCTGCCTCTGACTACCGAGTGTTCCTATCTAATGCCTTTACAGTCTCACACCTAACCTCTGCAGTCTTGGCTCAACCTAGAGACTCTGTGTGCCTCTAGCAGCTCAGCTGGGTCCTTTCTATTGTCTCTTTTGCTCTCTGCTTCTGCCCCCAGTAAGGACTTCTGTAACTCCTGAACTCTGCTGTAGCCTCTTTAACCTTTCTCTAACCTCCAAATATACACATTTATATAAACATTTACCGTGTTGTATGTAATGGGTGATATGAAATATTCAGGCATAGTGCCCTTATAGCTTAGGCTCAAATAGCCTAAACTGCCTCAAATTCTCTACATAGAGATGCAACCTTGAGCTACTGATCCTGCTCTGCCTTTATCTCCCAAGTGCTGGGATTACGGGAGTGTGTCACCACCTGACTCTCCAAAGCATTGAGCAAATCACCAACATTCTGGTTAACAATTTTTTGTAACGCCATAATTATACTGACAAAACCACTTCTGATCAGCAAAGCTGCTAGCATCTATAGTATACAAAATTATTAAGTGGAAGAGCCATGAATACCCATCTTGAAACATCTATGGGCTGCTTACAGTAATGGGAAAATTATGAGTTATGTACAATTAGATAATTTATTCATTCACGTTTTCTGCCCTACTCTTTCTCTTGCCCTGTGCCTCCTTCTTTCATTATTTCACCTAATGGTACAGAGCAGGAGCTGGGAAACATGTCCTGTTACTAATTTAAAGTTCTGTTTACAAACACAGGGAGTGGCCAGATTTAGGTCACAGGATTGCATTCTGTCAAAGAGGGTTTGGAGTGGTGAGTTTTCATGCTTTTGCTTACTCAGAATCACCTATATGATTGCTAATATACAAATTTCTGTAACCCGTCCTTAAAGTTTCTCACTCTACAGATAGGTCTATAGGAGACCCTTAGATTTTTTGTTTTTAGTAAGTTCCCAAGTAATGCTGATGCTGCTGGTATAGTAATTTCACTCTGAAACAGTGAAAATCTAATTAACCAAAAACTGACTGATACTGATATATGAGATAGAGTATCTCATGGGAAGACTTACTGTTAAGTGCCATAATGTTATCGGTTCCTGGATGATGAAAATTTATTCCCATGCGTCCTAGAAAATAAAGCAATTTTATCTTAAGCACACACACGCAAAAAAAAATGTTCAATATAATAATTTCAAATATATAAAACATACACATTACAAAACACTACAAATTAATCTATAGCAATGCTATCAGGCCAAAGCATTTACAACAACTTTAAAATCAATTCATAAAACACAGACATGAAAAATCTTAAAACAAAGTCAAATTCTCAACACAAAATACAACCAAACAAAAAGAAGCTTCCATTATAGTCTGAAATTTGTACATCTCATATATTAAAATTTAAATAAGTCTATTTTCTTGATAAGCATTTTATTTAAACAATCATTTATTTATGCCCTTCAAATTAAGGCATAAAAAATAAATTTAGAGAAGTACATATACATGAAGTTTAGAGAGAATAAAAAGATAGTTTCATAATGTTTCAAAAATGCAACATAATTACCAGAGTAGCAAAATGAAGAAAGATGGAATATTTTATGCAAATACAGTCAGGGAAAGCCTGATCTAAAAATTTAAGTTTGTAAGTTGCCCTACCACTCCTTCTCTTTCACAGGTATGGCTGTGTGGTGGGGAGTTATTTTCTTCCATGACTATGTGACCCTAGCGGATGTATAGCTCACCATGTAGACCAGATGGCTCCTAACTCACAGAGATCCTGCCTGTCTTTGCCTCCCAAAAGAACTGGCATTAGAAGCATGCACTACCATGTCTGGCCTCACTACTAACACTCGCATGACCTTGTGACAAATGTAGCTTTCCAGAGGTTCATCTCTATGAATAATACGGGAATTGAAACTTCTGCTCACACTGGTTGGCTTCCTATTTTTGTATACCTCTGAAGTTAAGAACCATTTTTACATTTTTAATGGGCTGGAAAACAGAACAAAAGCAAAGAGTCAATAGAGGCCTGTGTCCTGTAAACCCTAAAATTCTATAGTCCTTCGCAAAGTTTGAACCCTTGATCTGGAAGATAATAAATAGAAGCAGACATTTCAACTAATGGTCATTTGGGATAAAGATTGAAAGGCGTGTACATGGAGGGATTGGGGAGGTAGACAGAGTGAGACTCAGAAGAACAGAAGGAAAGACACACGGGTACGGAATGAAAGATGCAATTGTTTGCTGCTTTTTCATCATTAGAAACAAAGATGATAGATGTATCAAAAAAATTAAAAGTAAACCCATCTATGTATGACTCTGTAAACTCTTAGTATATAGTTACTTTGAGAGTTATGAAATTCACAGAAAAATGTCAATTTTAAGACAAATGTTTTACCACTGAGATATCCCTACAGCCCTAAAAAATGTTACTTTATAGCAGCTGCTTAAATAAATGTTAAACATATTTGGGGGAGAATAGTACAGAGAAAACTGGAGGTAAAGGTTTCTGATTTTTTCCTACAACAAATGCAGCTCTATATGTAATTGAAAAAACCAGTTTTTATTTGGCATTAAACTGTTATTGGGAACTGAAGGCAAACATCATTGCCAAGCTCAAGATCATGGAAAACCTAGAGAACATAATGAAAAAAAAACAAAGTCCTCACTCAATTTTACTACTTTGTGTGTGTGTGTGTGTGTGTGTGTGTGTGTGTGTGTGTGTGTAACTAGGGGAAATTAATGGAACTTTCAAAGAATAATAGAGAAAACATTCTTGAATATTTAATCTCTGTAAAAAAAACTGTTTTCATATTAGCTACAAGATAATTACTAGGAGTTTAAAAGTAACCCCTTGTTTAGAAGACATATTAAAATAACTATACTTGTAGGCATGTCCCACATGTCTTACTATGCCTTTCTACTTCCTAGGTCACTTTAGAGTCTCTGAGAGTTATAGTCTACACCATATACAATTTTGTCTCCTACCTTATAGTCTACACCATATGTGATGCTGTCTCCTACCAACACCTTAATTAAACCTACTTCACAAAAGTTTGTTACTAGCAAAAGACTTGACTCAGTAAGAGAATTACATTATGGTTTCAGCTAATTAAATCAATGTTCTTTACATCTAAAACTAACATCCATGAAGACTAAAAGTGATATCCTCTAATTTAGCTTCATCGTATTCTTGGGCAACCACAATAACCAATTGCTGGGAAGTCTACACTGAAATCCCATCAAGACTTCAAACTCATTGTCCATTAGAACTCAAGGAAAATAGAATCTCTTTAGTTAGATAGCAGCACACACCTATAACCCACACACAGAAGGCAGAGGCAAAAGAATCACAAGATCAAGGTCAGCCTGAGATGCACAGTGAAACCATCTCAAAAAATAAGCAATAACATGAAAAAGTCAGAGATAGGTGCACAGGCCATCTCTGTGAATTCTAGACCAGTCAGTGCTACATATTGAGATCCTGTTTAAACAAAACATGAAAAGCAGAATCTCTTTAACCAATGAATATTCAGAGGACAGTATGAGTTCTTAAAAGGGACCAATGGTCTTTAATATTTTTACAACAAAGAAAGGTTGTCAAGGACATAGAGTAACCACACATTTAGTTGCTCTTCATTCAACTTTAATTCATGTATAATAGAGAATTGCATATGTTACTGACATTGCATCAGATAAGGTTTCTATGTTTGTGAAATGCTGTCCATTTAGCCTCAGAACTTAAGCACAGTTACATGACATCTTGAGTTTTTTCTTGAAGAGCTAGAACATTCCACCTTGTCAAGATGAACTTGAGAGGAAGCGGGCTGCTTCCTAGTTATCGTCCTCTAACCTCATTGGTTACTTGCAACTGTCTTCCTTAAGAAGCAGAGCAAGAAGCTCAGACAGGGTCTTACAGAAGGCTCTGCTGCTTGGGAAAAAAAACACAGTAGATTTTACATTTCCTGGTCTTCTCCCTGATTTTTTCCCAATGAATCTTTAGATAAAAATGAACATAAATCTCATAAGGAGTTCTGTGTCAGTACTGTATCCCTAGAATCTATAATGGGATATAATCTAGGTTTCCTACTAAATAAATATTTTTGGTAAAGTCAGATATGACTTTTTAGTTTATATCTTGGAAAAAGTAGGGTTTAGAGTATAAATGCAATCTATTTTCATTGAATAAAAATTAGCTACATGGAAAAAATAAGACCACTGAAGACAGTTGATTGATACTTTTCACTGAAGACAGCATGCATGAAGCTTTCTTTCCTAAGACTGTGATCATTTAAAATTGTTTTCTTAGTGCAATGTGCACTAAACTTCAATACTTATTACAGGATTTGGGGGAAAGAGAAAGTACATAGCAGCAGCAGAAACCCCGATGCTAAATTCAGAGGAGACCGTTTCTTTTTGCTTCCTTTTGTCCAACAAATGCTGCTGTTGAATCAGCTGTGAAAACAGGACTAAGCGTGTGACATCTGGTGATTTTGTTACTGCAGTCTGGTGCTGCCAAGGTGACATCTGTCACCTGTCCATGAGTCTGCTATTTTTAAAGTGTTCTTGTCAGCTAGCTATCGTTCGAGTATAGTGTAGAATATAAGGTTTCAAAGGCTGGAAGGCATCCTTAGTCTTGCTAGGTTCAAGGATGCTGTGGAAATCTGAGCCTGTCCCACTTTGCTAACATCACAGGACATAGCAGGAGTTAGGAGAGGATGGAGACAGAGGGGAGAGAATAGAGTTATGTTTGTTTACTTAGAATTAAAAAAAATCATATTTTCATAAACTCTATTCATTCATATTTTAAAATCTACCTTATAGGTACTTAAATCTCAGATCCCAAATGAACCCATACTTTTGTGTATCCAAAATAAAAACTACATTTTTATTAATTCAAAATTAGTACCAAGGTCAATTCTTCAGCACATATCTTTTCTAATCACCCACTTTAAAAAAAAAAAAAAGAGGTCAAGTACTTAAGCAGCTTCAAAGAGAATGCTAGTGCTTTGTTCAAGAAAAGAGTTTTTTAACTTCTACCTATTTTCTCTAAAAAGTTAGAGATACACTCCTAGAGAAAGAGTGAAGTCAGGTGTGGTGGACACACCTGTAATACCAGGTCTGTAATACCAAAGCTGAGGCAGAAGACTCTCGGGTTTAAGACCAGCTTGGCTCCACAGCAAGACCCTGTCCCAAAACAGCAGAGAGGGTGGAGGGAACAGCAGGTCTTGAAGCTCTGAGATGGCTCAGCAAGTAAATTTACCATTAAGCCCAACGACCTGAATTCAGTCCCTAAGACATGGTAGTAAAAGAAAAACAGACTCCTACAATTAGTGCTGCGAATTCTACATAAGCACATAAATATTATTTTTTAAAACCTGAATTTCTTTTAAGGCAATGGTAAAATCTGGTACTATAATATAGTATTATAGATCTGTTCCAAATAACCAATAAGCAAAACTGTGAGCTCAGAACTGAAGTCAATGGACAATTTTGGTCAAGTTTTTTTTTTCTTCTCCTGGGAGGGTCAGGCTGTCCTGTGGGCTCCAGTCAGACCCTTCTTAGCAACTGGGACCACAGGCATACTTGCCATCCCATCACAACCGCCATAAATTCTTAAATCCTTTGCACTTGTTTCCTTGATTAAGGTTGCAGCTTAACTGAATTAGAATTTCAGAAGTTAGTACCAAGGTATAATCTTCCTTTCCTAACTACTAGATGATGAAAATGCCGTATCTTAAATCAGGATAAACCAGAGCAAGTAACAGACAAAGGAAGGTGAGACAAGGAGGATCTCAAGTATAGGGTTCAGGATTAGCCTGGGGGACCAAGGGATCCTCACAGAGAAGAAAAGGTTGGCAACAGGGACAAGAACAATCACTTCTTGGTGACTCAGCTGGCCTCGAACAGTCTATAGAGTCTTCTGTCCTTCTCCACTTTAGAAGTTGGACACCAAACTGAGACACTGGGCAAATTGGTCTACAAGTGAAGCTAAGAATCGGCTAACTTTGTAAAGGACAAATTGAAATAGGTTGAAAGAAGTTGACACCGAAATAAGACTAAGCAATGATTCATGCTACAAAATAAATAGCATATTTTCTTCTGAAGGGATCATGTAGAAAAA